ATCACTTCCGATAGCTTTCGCGGATGGGCATTTGTTTAATTTTCGGCGTATTTGGAAGGAAGGCCAGCGCTGCAGCGGGAGCACGATCCGCAACGAGCGAAAGCAAGGAAATGAGGCCAGCGCTGTAGCGGGAGCACGATTCGGAACAAACGGAAGCCCGAAAATGAGGCCAGCTCTTTAGCGGGAGTAAAATTTTGAAAAAATGCCCAAGCGAAAACCCAATTCTCGGGAATCTTGTGAGGAAAAACAATAAGCGGAGGGGGCCAGGTATCTTCTGGACGTCATCAGGGGAGAGAGGAGAGTACCATTCATATTGTATAATTGTGGAGGAGAGGGGAGGGGAGGGGAGAGGGGGAGGGGAGGGGAGGGAGGGAGGGAGGAGGAGGGAGGGAGGTGAGGGTTTACCCAAATTAATCGGCCATTGGCAGCTAGCTGCGCGCCCGAAATTGGTTCAAGTCGGCTGGTTCCGCCGTAACCGATTGCCGCCAGTCGATGTCATAGTTTCGGAGGGCTCGCATGTACACCGAATGCCGAGCTCTAGACCTCCCGCTAGCTGGTTCTCGGGCACAGGCTAGCATGAGTGGCAATGTAGACTGGGCTCCAAGAGTTCGTTCTCTTCCTCGTTCTTCAATCGTTTCGCTCGTTCCGCGGCCCATGCTGCTTCATGGTTGGCCGTTGGTTTGGCTGGGAAGTGCCACAGGTGCGAAGGTACGGCCAAGAGGGGCCATAGAAGTGCACTCGGAATGGTGCCTCGATTCTCCATGATGACGAGCTTGCGGGACGCATCAGTACGTCATGCGTCGATGGTGGCTGATTGCAAGAGCCAGTCGCACAGGCGCGGCCCGAAGTGATAATCAGACCTTCGCGGCCTGGCGGCTCTGCAAAGGAGGCCTGCAGATTCAGGGGCGCGTCGGGAAATCGCGGGTGGTGGTGGTGGTGGTGTCCGCGCTTGTCGTGGCGCCCACATCTCAGACCGGTTTTCCTTCGGAAAGCACTGGGATGGGCCCAGATTGTCCTGGAGAATTTCGTTCCGCATTCCGAGTTGAATTTCTCGCGGATTTTTTGGCCAGGAATGAAGACTACAGAAAAAATCACGTTGTTTTTCGCTCGCTGTTTCGGGATTTTGCGTTGACAGAAATTCGCTCACAAATCCGCTGCAGCACGTCTGCAAGGTCGGTGCGATGACGCTTGTAGCCTCTTGGCGCGAGCTTGAGGAGATCCGAAATCTATTGGAAGCGGAACGGCGAGAAAGCCAAACCTTTGACATGCATCGATTTGTTTTAATGGTGTTGGTCTCCTGGAGGCCTCTTGGGGCATCTATAAGACCATGTTGTGTCATCTTTGGGCTATATCATGGCCTCTTGGGCTTGTCGTGGATGCATGGTTTGGCTGTCTTGGGGTAGTATTAAGGCTTGCCACCCTTCAAGTGGCGATTGGAAGCCACGACAAACCTTTGTGGGGGGAGAGCGAGACATGTAACGCCTGGCGAAAGAAGTCGGCGGGAACATTTGTTTTACAACGTTCAGATCGCACCGTAAATCACATGTGACGTGAGAACCAAGTTCGGGCGCAACGTAGAGACAGAGAGAAAGTATGGAAATAGTGTAGGAGAAGTTCAGGTGAATATCCCTCGGGTGGGCTAGCTTCCGAGTGGCGCCCGATGTTTTCCAATCTTGTAAAAAATTGTTCCAGACGTCTTGGGGGCGCCAGAGCTTCCCCAAACGTGCGCCACACCTTTTGCCACTTGTTCCTGAACGTTTCCTAACTGACGAGATTCGCCGAGGTGCTTTCTATACTTTTGGACGTTCGTCAATAGTTTGTCTTATTGTCCTGAGGCGCTCGCATTTGCGCTAGCCCCCTACACTCTGGTTGAATTGCTGTGTGACTGAGGCGTGCCTTGGTTTTCTTATTGATACTTATTGCTCTACTCCGCGCTCTGACTCCAGCCCGAGTTGTAATACATTCCAGCGATACCGCAGTTTGCCCTTGTTTTCCTGCTGCAGCTCTTGATGATGGCTCGTGGGCTGCCCTGGAGCCATCGCATGGCCATCTTGTAGCTATTTGAGGCCTGTACTGGGGCGATGTCGGGGATCTTCCGAGCCCTGTTGGAGCACCTTCTGGGCCCCACTTGTGGCCATCTTGGGGCGATCCTGGAACCATGGTGAAGCCTCAGAGTTTCAGAGGGAGCGAACCGGTGAGACAAACAACGAAACCACTGAGCCTCTGTTTAAGTATTTGATTGCTCCTTTCTCCGATGGGGGGACGTTACACATGACCATCGCCTGGAGGATCGATTTTGAGGGACCTCGACAGGCGGTGGATATGGACATTTTCGTGTCCCCGGGAGCCAACGTATATCCAGATCCGCCGCCCGCTCTGGGGCACCAGGACGTCGGCGCCCAGGCGGTGGATATGGATAAATCCCCGCCTCGTACTTTCCTCTTGGGGTGCGTTGCTGGGGGCTGTCCTGGGGGTCGTTTTAGGTATCGTGGTTGTCTGGTATCCGGACCATGGTCCATGGACCATGCTGAGGCCTTAGAGTTCCACAGGGAGCGAACAGGCGAGACAAAGACGAAATCACGGAACCACTGTTTATCGGCGGCGAGCGAAGAGGGGAAGTGAGAAGGAGAAGGTCTTCTCAGATGGCGGCGGAGGTTCTCAGCAGTGCTCGCGCTTTCTGGGAATTTTGATGAATCCTTCTGCGTCTTCGGGGAAGGCTTAGGAAACTTCTCAGAAGGCCCGGGGACTTCTGAGCCTTCTGAGAAGGCCCGCCCCTTCTCACTTCCCCCCCCCCCCCGGCTCGCCGCCTGGTTTAGGTATCTGACCTGCTCCTCTCCTCCTGGGGGGCGTTGCTGGGGGCTGTCCCCCCCCCCCAAAGCGGGCGGGCGTCTGCCTCCCCCCACCCCCGCCTCCAAGCGGCCTATCCCGCCGGGAACCGCTCGGGGGGGCTGGGGCCGCACCGGAAGAAGAGTGCCCCTCCTGGCCTCCCCCCCCCTCCCTCCCTCCCTCCCTCCTCTTCCTCCCTCTCTCCCTCCCTCTTCCTTCTCCCTCCCTCCCTCCCTCCCTTCTCCCTCCGTCCTCCTTCTCCCTCCTCACTCCCTCCTCCTTCTCCCTCTCTCCCTCCCTCCTCCTTCTCCCTCCTCCCTTCCTCCTTCTCCCTCCCTCCTCCCTCCTCCTCCCTCCTCCTTCTCCCTCCTCCTTCTTCCTCCCTCCTCGTCCTCCCTCCTCCTTCTCCCTCCTCCTTTTCCCTCCTCCCTCCCCCCCCTGCCAGAGGGCCCTCGGCCGAGAAGGGAGGGGAAGAGGAGCAGGAGGAGCAGGAGAGAGGGAAGAGGAGGAAGACTGAGGAGGAAGAACAAGGGGGAGGAGGAGGGAGGAGGAGCAAGAAGGGAGGAGGAGGACGAGGAGGAGGTGGAGGAGGAGGAGGAGGATGAAGAGGAGGAAGAAAGACGATGAAGAAGAAGGGGAAGGAGGAGGAGACAAGAAGTTCCTGCCCCCCTGCTCATCCTGTTCCTCCCCCCCTCCTTTCTCCCGTACCTGGACAGAAGTTCGAACCCTGCGGCGTAAGATACTCCCCCAGACCCCCAAAATTGATACTGAGGGTGCGGTAATGGAGAGTGTACGGGTGGACAAACAATTGAACAGCACCCGTGCTGAAATCAACATGGGTTTCAGGGGAAGGCGGGGGATAAGTCTGGGATAAGCATCCCCCTCAAGTGTCAGGCCTCTGGAGACCAGGACACAGATAAGCCAGGACACTGAAAACGAATGAAACAACACCCTTTCTTGCAAAGTCACATTTTCCGGCACCCGTGCATTTGTTGTTTGCTGCACTGCAGGATTCGGGTTTGTGTCTGGGTTTTGGGGGGGGGGTGCAGGCCTTTAGGGCCTGCAGTATTTTGTTCGTGCCGCCGTCTTGAAAAAGTAGTTTCGAGGGATGTTGGATGTCCGGGTCCAGCGTTTCCAGGTTTACGGGGCCCTGAAAGCGTGCGAGGGCTCGAATAGTTTGTCCATGCGCTGTCCCTTCCCCCCCGTGCAGCCCGAGCCAGGCGTTCGTCGTTCCCGTGGACGACCTCCCGCGGGAGCAGGGCGCCGCGTGGCTCGACACCCTGGCGTCCCTCTGCACGTTCTCCGACGGCGGGGCCGGGTCAGGGCAGGCCATGAATGGAGTCTGGCACGGCCACCGAGGTCACCGAGCGCTCGCTCCACTGCTCGCAGAGCGCCTGCTTGCAAATGTCCGGAACACACACACACACACACATACACACGCACTCACGCATGCGCTCACGCACGCACGCACGCACGCACACGCACACACACAGCCACGCACACACACACACACAGCCACACACACACATACACACGCACGCCACACACGCACACGCATACACACATACACGCACACACACACACACACACACGCACGCACGCACGCACGCACGCACGCACGCACGCACGCACGCACGCACGCACACACACACACACACACACACACACACACACACACACACACACACACACACACACACACACACGTTCTCGGACCAGGCTACGTAGGACGAGGGGCTGACGGAGCCGACAAGGGGGAGCTCTCCCTGGCGGGATTCTGCCTGCCCCCCTCGCCCTCCTGCTGCTCCTGCTCGTCCTGCTCGTGCTCCTGGCGCTTGCGCTACGGGGGTGTTACTTGGTGCTTGTTAATTGGGTGTTTTTTTTCGGGTGGGGCTAGGACGAGGATAAATCCGTTCCAGAGGGTTCCAGAACGCTCTCAGAGCATTCTGGGACGATCTGAGACGGCCGCGGCCCCCGAGGCATTCTCCATAGCCGCCGGATCTCAAAATTTATCCTCGTCCTGGCTTCGTCTCATGTTCACGAGTAGTGGACCGCGCTTGTCTATAGAAAGGAAGGAAGGCCATGGACTCGGACGGTACATTGCACAGGGGTAGACACAATCAGCTGCTCGCACGGAAAGTGCAAACGCGGCGCGCCAGTGATGGGCGAGAGCTGAACATGACGAGAATGGTTATCTATTTTCTCAACAGTCGGGCCGCGTGACAAGAAACATCGTATGTTTCGTCAGGGGGGCCTGTATTGCTTTGGCTTGAGTTCGGCGTGGACCGAGACACCTCGGCGGATGTCACGATAGGGTTTCTCGCGGTGGGAACATTGTGCACTCGTTTTCACTGTGCCCTGAGCTCTCTATTCTCTTTTTCTTGTCATCCCCCTCAACATTCGAAATCTACCCTCCGCCTTCTACTCTCCGCTCTCTACTTTCTTCTCTCGCATTTCCACTGTTTGGTCTCTGTCTTCTGCACTGACCGTTCGCTCTGCTCTTTTTCCTTGTACGCTATACACTCGACTCTACTCCCTTGGATGTAAGAAATAACGCGAAACCAAATCATAACTTTATAATTCCGCCGTTCAAAGAGATTGAGCGCAATTCGGACCACGACGATCTGGGGCTCAAAGAACTGTACTTGTGGCTTGCGTTGCGTATTTGCGTTTTCGGCGGCAGCCGCGGATCGTGCCCAGCTTGGAACCCGCGGATTTCAACGTTACGAGTCATTGTCGCTTCTTCTTCTTCTTCCCGTGACTGTGTCCTGGAAGTGTCCCGCCCTCTCCGTGCATTGTTTCTTCACGCCGAATGGCAGCACTGGTATTTCCTGCGTGCTCTTTCGAGCGGAACGTTCTCGGTGTCTCAAAATACAGTCAACCCACATAATTCAGGACGGGCATCCTTCCCAGGGGTACCTATGCATCCTTGCCCCTTCCGCCCATCCTTGGCCACTTTCGCTGGCCGCGCCGCGCTCGAAAGGCTTCAAAGTGGCCTTCGAAGGTCCCTGCATCCTAATCGTGCGTCCTTATGATACGGGTTTACTGTAGTGTTCCTCTGCAGCGGGCCTTACTTTGGGATCGGCGCTTTGCCCGTCGTTCAGCATGGCGCTCTCGCCCCAGCGCGGGCCACTTCTCTGGATCTGAGTCCTTACTCATCGTTGTCGCCCCTTCCGTTTCCTTCACCCGTCTTCCCGTGGTCATATTGTTCCTCCCGCTCCTCCCACTCCAACCTGTTGTTTCTGCCCCGCATCGTCCTCTTCCTTCCTCATCCTCCTCTTCCGCCTGCTCATCCTCTCGCTCATCCGCAACCGCCTCCTCCAACTTACGCAGCTCCTCTCTTGTTATTGCGCATGGTACGATACAAGAGGTCATTTTCGGGGTTCCAGGTCCGCGAGGAAACCCGTCGGCGGACGTAGCAAACATCAGCGCAGTGAGAAAGTGATGGGTGGGAGGGGTAGGATGCCAGACACGGCTCTAACGCACTTAGCTTGTTTTTGTTTGTTTGTTTGTCCTTTCTCTCTTTCTATATACATATATCCCCTCTATATGTATATATATATATATATATTGTTTGTTTCCTTTTCTCTCTCTCTCGCTCTTTCCTTCCCTCTCTCTCTATCTCTCTTTCTGCTATAGTCAACTCTCATCTACTCTCTACCGGAATCGTGTTCTCGCCAATTGGCGCGATACGTTCTCTGTGTTCTCCAAAAGCCCCTCATTCACGGAGCGCTTTCCACTACTCGCAAAGTGCCTATTCGCACACGTCCGAAAACGCATGCTTGCCTCGACGTGATGGATCGTGAATCCCCGCGGCAGATCCATGCCATGTGCGAGACATTCGGTTTGCGAGTAGCAGAACGCGCTTGCCTTTGCATGCCTTCATGCCCTCTGCGGCGTTTCACCTGGGAGATGGCAGCTGCTTGTGGGTTATCTTGGAGAACATCGTTCGCTGCAAAGGCTTCCCCGGTCGTATGTACCGAGTGTCCGCTTCCACTCGTGCGCTCGATCTGGCGGGCAGTTTGGCACGGGTCGGTACCGGGACGCCCCAAAGTGGGGGGGTATTTTGCGCCTCTCACGGGCGCCGTGTCACCCGCAGGGGCGCGACGATGGTCAAGCTCAGCGCTTCGCGGTCTGTGCCAGAGAGACGCTCTTCGCCAGGGGAACCGCGAGAGGGCGTGAAGATAAACCGCCCTTCGCGCGGCGCGAAGCGCCATGACCTAGATCCGCGGAACTTGCCAGTCGATGGTCCACTGCTTGCCTTATCCCTGTGCTGGAGTAGGGAGTGAACAGATGGGATGGGAGAGCCCGGTCCGTGCAAACGTGGGTGGAGTAGGTCGGCCAGGAGGAGTGAGGAGGAACCTGACGACGTCAGTGATGACTTATAAGAGGTGGAGGAAAATGGTAGGAGGATTTGGAGGAGGAGGAGGCGACGGAGGAGGAGGGGGAGGAGGAGGAGGAAGAGGAGGAGGAGGAGGAGGAGGAGGAGGCGGGGGGCGTCGTGATGGAGTATAGAATGAGGAGGAGAATGAGGAGGAGGAGGATTTGCAAGCGGGGGGTAGGAGGAGCAGGAGCAGGAGGAGGAGCAGGCTGAGGAGGATGAAAGATGAATACAATCGAGAGGAGATCGCACCGCGAGTTCCACGGCAGCTTGGAGACGGCCACAGCGACGGGTGGGGGTGGGGAGCGCCGCGAGACGGAGAGCCCAGCGGCTACCTGTGCTCTACCTCCAACTTCGAGCTTGACCAGGAGCTCGTGTCGACGATGATCATGGCTGGCGCGGCGCGCGGCTCGGCCCGCGGTGGATCGCGGTCGGAGGGGAGACCGCCCAGGGCCGCCGCCCAGAGGCTCCAAGCGCTTTAACATCGAGGTTCGGCATCCTTTCTGGACGACTGTGATCGGATCCCTCCGCCATCGCTGCGCCTGCTGCCGCTCTGCACTCGACCGTATCCCTTCCTTTGCCTCTCTCCTTCCCCATCCCTTCCTCCGTCCCCTCCCTCGCTTTCCCCCTTCTGTTCATCAGGATCTTTCTCCTCCTCCACACATCTTCGTGACATCGGTCATGAGGGCAGCGCAACAGGAGCAGATTATCATGCCGCGCTTGCGCCACATGACCACGGAGCTGCGCGGCGAGCGCCTGGTCTGGCCCGCCCGCCGCGGCCTGTGTTCGAGCGGGGCACCAGCCGCATGCTGGATTTGGGGGCGACTTCCATCATGCCGGGGAGGACAGGGGGGTGGCTGAGACAGCGTTGTGCTCGTCCCCTGCGATATCAGTCACAGGCACAAGAAATAAGCACTGCCAGTGCAGCATCGTCGTCCGCTCTTGGGACAAAACGGAGGGAGTGATCTCCTCCGCCTCCTCCTCCTCCTCCTCCTCCTCCTCCTCCTCCTCTTCCTCATCCTCCTTCATCTTTCTTCCTTGTAAACAACTCCTCCCTGTGGTCCCCCCAGACATGTCGGTAGGGCGTGGCGGGTGTTTCGCTTGAGATTTCATCACCATTTATGATCCTGAAGCTTAGAAGGTGCAACAGCTTCGCGGATGGAGGGCAGGCCGTTTGCAAATTGTGGTTATCACCTTAGCGCTGCGCGCATCAATTTTGAACATGGGCAACAGTTTCATTGGTGGATGGCGAGCCGTTCAAACTGTGGCTCTCGACTCAGCGCCGCGCGCATTCGTTTTCAAAGTTTGCAGCAGCTTCACGCATGGAGGGCGGGTCGTTTTCAAAATGTGGATCTCGCCCAAGCGCCGCGCACATTCATTTTAAACAGTTGCAACAGTTTCACGGATGAAGGGCGTTTTTGTTTCAAATGTTGGTTATCGCTTAAGCGCCACGCTCATTCGTTTTGGGAGTTCGCACCAGTTTCAAGGGCTCGCATGGTCGAAGTCCCAGGAATGGTGTTCTGGCAAGATTTAGGGCTGCCAGGACGCATGATTCGCGGTGTTGGAGTCCCAGGAATGGTGTTCTGGCACGGTTTAGGATTACCAGGACGCAATATGTAATCATGTTGATTCGCGGCGTTGAAGTCCCAGGAATTTTGTATTGGCACGATTGAGGATTCTCAGTCGTTTGTTTTCCATTGGTGCGCTGTCCGCAATGGTAAGATGCTGTGGGGCCCTACGAGGGGGGAACTTAGGGGGAGGGTTTTTGTAACATCGCTGATTCGTCTTAGGTTCACACTCTTCCTCCTCATCCTGATCCTCCTTCTCCTCCCCCTCGCCTCTCGAAGTGGGTCTCCCCCGCTGAGCCCCGTGCGGTGCACATGCCGTCTGCGTGGTCCTGCCTCAAAGAGAAGCTAATTCGCTTCGCAGGCAGTGCAGAGTGCTGTTGGGAAAACTGCTTTGGGAGCGTGGGCCACCTCATACAGGTTGCCAATGGCCACTCAGCCCTGCCTGTTTGGGTGCCCAGAGCAGCGTGACGACCAGGCTCACTATTGCGACTGTGGCCCGCTCTGTAAGTCGGGGTCCCCGCCTGGTCCCGATCCGCTTCGGGCCGAATCCTGTCTGTCCGTCTAGGGTATATGCTTGCCAAGCTGTGCGATGACACAGTCACTCGTCTGATTCTCCTTTTCAACACGTATAACTATTTGCGCGACCTCCACAATCGTGGTCGCGCAGGGATCGGAGACGCTGCGACGGATCGTGCAGCCCTGAGGTCCGCTCGCACCCACCTGGCCCTCGCAACGCCAAGGGTCAGGTTCATTCATTTCGGCCGTCACGCCCACGCCTAACTCATCATCCGCCCCGGGACGGGGTCTCGGCGCCGCGCGGCCTCCTCCTCCTCCTCCCCCTCCTCCTCCTCCTCCTCCTCCTCCTCCTCCTCCTCCTCCTCCTCCTCCTCCTCCTCCTCCTGGAGGAGAGCGGGCCCGCCGGCTGCCGCGCGGCCGAGGTCCAGCCGCCGAAGCCCGCGGGCGCGGCCGCGCCACTGCCCGCCAGCGCGGCCCCGAGGCCCGCCCCTCACCCATGGCGCGCGCGCGGGAGGCGGACGAGCCCTGGCGGACTTAGGTTGGAGGTCGTTTTTTTATTTTCTTTCTTTCTTTCTCTCTCTCTCTCTCTCTCTCTATATATATATATCCCTTCTCCTCTCTCTCGCTATCCCCCTCCCTCTCTCTCTCTCTCTCTCGTTTGTTCTCTCTCTCTCTCTCTCTCTCGGAGTCTTTGACGTCTTCGCTGGAGCGGGCAACCCCTTGGACGCTCATAGGCCTGCAGGTGGTCCCACTGCCAGCGACGACGGCTTGCGAAAAAGGCTTCCAGCATCTCGATGATTGCATGTTGTGTTTTTGTTTTTGTTCTCTCTCTCTCTCTCGTTGTTCTCTGCGTCCGCCACAGTCTGTCTCGCCCTGCTGCTCTTGCTGCCCCTCCCGCGCCGTCTTCGGCCTGCGCGGGGGGGCGAGCGGGCCGTGAGGCCCGCCAACTGACGCCTCGAGCGCTCGCTCCCGCGGCTTGGCCAAGAAAGGAGCCCTGGCGCGGGACCACCCGGGGCGTTCCGAAAAGGGTCGTGCCTTCGAGGATAGAAAGGGTTGTCCTCTCTTCCGCTGCGGAAGGTCGGCGGAAGTGAAACGAGGCCGCTTCCGCCAGCGGAAGCCGGCGGAAGGGCGGCGGAATGTGGCGGAAGTGAAAAATGCGCCCCCAAGAGGTGAAACACGCTTTTGGGTTCAGGGTTTCCGAAATCCGCCACTTGGCGATGGGGTTGAGGGGCGCGGAGCGCGGAGCGGTGGGGGAGGAGGATCAGCACACCGCACCGAGATGCACTGCCACCATGGCTGGGCGGGGCAATCCTGGTCCCTGGCATGGTGCTCACGCCATCTGGGCCGAGGCCAGGATCGTCCGTACACCAGCGCAGGGCCCAGGACGGCCCTGGCCTGACATGGTGGTGGCGTATAGATGCCTTTGCGGAGCAGAGGAAGAAGACGAAGAGGAGGAGGAGGAGGAGGAGGAGGAGGAGGGGGAGGGGAAGGAGAAGGGCGACTCGTAGGCTGAGGCGTCTGGCGCGCTTTGGACGCAGATCTCGATCGGTCTATTCCGTCGGGGCAGGATTTCCTTCTTGTCCACGCGCGCGCGGTCGCCTGATCCGCAACACCTCAGATTCCTCAGATTCCTCACTCGTCTCACGCAAGTGTCTCGCGGTAATGGTGGGTTGAAGGGTGGATGCATCACTGGCAGTTCCTTCCTCCAGCAGCGCTCAGAAACTCCAGCTTAGATTTTGTTCAGGCTCGTAGTACACGAGACCACTGCGCGCGACGACTGTCGATTCCCAAGCAGCCAGTTCGAGGGGTAAGGTATCCATAAACATTGGGGGGATGGGCCCTCTGCTATTTAGGGATTCGGTTCGGTAACAGGCGGCGCGACGCCGTGTTGAGGCTCGACGTCGTCGGTCTGGCCCTTGATGCTACGTTTGCTCCTACCCCCTTCTACCCGCCATCACCCCTTTCCATTTTTGATCTGCGATAGGCTCGCCGTCAGGGGGAGAAGGTTGGGTGGAAGGGCGGTGGAAGGGGAGAGGCACAGCAGCTGTCTCATGCTGCGCGACCACTGCCTTGCTGTGCGATTACTTCTTGTGCTAAGCGTGGAAGCACGGAGGAGGTCACAGACTTTGGATGAGAGTTTTTTAGGTGGAAGCAGCGCTGGCTAGTGCATCCGAGCAGCACGGGGTTGCTACCGGCTCCCTGTGTACCGACGACGCCAGCGGCGCATCACCGGCCGGGCCGCTCCCTGGAAGTTTGACCCAGTGGCGCGCAGACTCAAAAGTCGTGACGCAGCGCGCATGCCAGCTGTCCTTGCTGGGGCATGCCCGAAGGCTTCTTTGGAGTATCTAGTGGCTTTTTCGGCCCATCCCGCCAGCGTGCCCAGGTTGAAGGTCTGAGGCCTCTCGGATGCCAATCGGGATCTTTTGGGAGGTCTCTCGGAAGCTTCTTGGCGGCGGTTCTGGAGGTGTCTTGGGGCCTCTCGGCGCATCATCATCTGGGGGGCCGTGGGAGCGTGCGGCTCGAGCAAGAGCCCTCCCGGGGCCGCGCGACCCGCCGAGCGGATCGCAGCCCCCCCCCCCCCCTGCCGCCCTCGGATCCGATGGTCGCCGCGGGAGAGTGCCACACCGTTCTGCTCCAGAGCGACGGAACGGCCGTGACCTGCGGCGGTAACGAGTGCGGCCAGTGCGACCTCGCTGCGCCGGCTGCTGGCCTGGCCTGCGCACAGGTCGCCGGAGGAGCGCTCCACACGGTCCTGCTCCAGAGCGACGGGACGGCCGTTGCCTGCGGCGACAACGAGTTCGGCCAGTGCGACCTTCCCGCGCCGGTTGCAAATCGGACTTACACCCACGTTGCGTCAGGAGTGGCTCACACAGTTCTACTCCAGAGCGACGGCACGGCCGTGGCCTGCGGCCACAACGTTTTCGGCCAGTGCGACCTCCCTCCGCTGGCTGCCGACCAGGCTTACACAGACGTTGCTGCTGGAGGGGGCCACACGGTTCTGCTCAGGAGCGACGGCACGGCCGTGGCTTGCGGCCTCAACGAGTTCGGCCAGTGCGACCTCCCCGCGCTTGCTACGGGTCAGGCTTACACACACGTTGCTGCGGGAGGGGGCCACACGGTTCTGCTAAGGAGCGACGGCACGGCCGGAGCCTGCGGCAGCAATATAGACGGCCAGTGCGATCTCCCTCCGCTGGGTGCTGGCCAGGCTTACACACGTGTTTCTGCGGGAGGTGGCCACGCCGTTTTGCTGAGGAGCGACGGTGCGGCAGTGGCCTGCGGCCACAACGTGTTCGGCCAGTGTAACCTCCCAGCGCTTGCTGCAGGTCGGACTTATACACGCGTTGCAGCTGGATGGTTCCACACGGTTCTGCTCCAGAGCGATGGCACGGCCGTGGCATGCGGAGACAACAGGTTCGGCCAGTGCGACCTCCCCGCGCCCGTTACGGGCCACACCTTCACAGCGCATCCATTACCAACTGTGTTCCTACAAGCATTTCTCGACGGCAGCTCGATGTGTTTCACAACGCTGGGTGGCGTGGAGCGCTGTCGAATCAGAGCGCCCCCCACCGCTCGCCTTGCGCGAGTGTATGGCCAGCTGGTGGCCGAGCGTCGCGCGGGCAGGTTGCCGGGGCCCCAGCTCGCTCTCGTCGACGCCGTCTTGCCAGGGGGCCGGCGACTGAGCGGCGCCTCGGCCAGGGAGACGGTTGCGGACGCCTTCGGGCTCCGCGCGCGTGCGCCGAGGATGCGCGTGCACCGCAAGCGGCCCCCGGCCCGCGCAGGCAGGTCTGGGGGGGGCCCTTCTGGCCGCTCACAAGCGAGCCGCCGAGGCCCCCTTCCGCTTGTAGGCCAGGGAGATGCTTGCCACTAGACCCCATGTGCATGAGTGCGTCCCGTGGCCCCCCGTGTTCTTTCTCCTTTGACCCCCCTCGACGTCGCCCACCTGCCTCCCCCCTGACCCTTCCTCTGCTACCCTTCCCGCAGGCCCTGTCCCCGCCCCCCCCACCCTACCTGCTCCATCCGCAGCCACTCCGACTCAGGTAACTCCGATTCAAGTCGTCCACAAGTTGCCACACGCCTCCCCTAGCTCCCCCTCCAGATCCGCTCCTTCCGCCTGCGGTCCCCTCCGATGTTTTCCAGAGTCGACTCGTCCCCTTGCCGCTTGCAGCTCCCCGACCAACCCCGCCCCAGCTCCACCCGCAGCCTTCTGATATGACTCCAGAGTAAAGTTCTCCGCAGGCCACCTCCAGTTCCCTCCCTGGTTTCCCCCCCGATCCCATTCCTTCCCCAGCTACATCCCCGGTTCCATCCGCAGGCACGATCCCTCGACTGCAATCCAGAAGCGAAGCTGTCTACAAGCTCAACTCCGATTTCCCCTACAGCTGTCTCACTGGGCGCGCTGCCACGTTGCGTCAAGTGTCTCATCCAGCTGTATGGCTGCCAGACTTCAAGGCCAAAACCAAAGGCACGTCAGCCCCGACCGTGTAAGCACTTACCCGTTACGAAAGGTATTCATATTGGGCAATGTCTATTACAGCCACGCCAAGCGGGCTTGCTTCCCCTCCGCTCCTGGCACGACTCCCTTCGACCTTGACGGGTGTTAGCCTGCGTGAACCCCAAACAGTGACTTCTTGCAACGTATGTGGTGCAATCTAGATGGTGTAGTCTATGTGGTGCCATCCACGTGGTGCAATCAGTGTGTTTCAATGTCAAGCAATGCAAAGCAACGCAAAGCAATGCAACGTAATGCGATTGCAATGCAATGCCATGCAATTGCAATGCAATGCGATCGCAAAGCAATACGATTCAATGTAAAGCAGTGCCGGACAATGCCGAGTAACGCAATGCAGAGCAACGCAAAGCAAGGCGAAGCAACGCAATGCAACACAATGCAATGCAATGCAATGCGCTGCAACGCAATGCGATTGCAATGTCATGTGATTGTAACGCAATGCAAAGCAATTCGATGCGATGCGATTATAATGCGATGCAATGTGATCGCAATGCAAGAAAATCAGAGCAATGCAGCACACTGCGATTGCAATGCAATGCAATGCAATGCAACGCAACGCAACGCAATGCGATTGCATCGCAATGCACATTCAAAGCAATCCATGTTCCATGCGACTTTTATGCATTGCAGTGCGATGCGATTGCAATGCAATGCAACGGGGAGGAGGGGGTGCAGCGGGGCGGCGGCGACGGGCGGGAACAGGGCAGGCCTCGAACGGGTCCAGTTCTTGAGAAGCGGACGAAGAACCCCTTAAGTGCAAGCACTGTTTGGGGAACAGTGCATGACCATCTCATGATAAAGCTTCTTCCCCTGTCATTTCACAAGGGGGCCACTTTTACTCCATTATGATTCTCTCCCCGCGTGGAGTTACAACAACCACATCTCTCCTGGGCGACTTCTCTTCAAACGTTCGGAATGGGGATGTACTGATGGGGGCTCCAGCGCGTCGATACTTCCTGCAGCCACTGCTCGAGTACACCAGGGCTCTCCGCGGCAGCGATCAGCGCAGCTCTCAGCAGATTCGGAGTAACCATCCTCGTCCAGCCATATGGGGCGCTCCAGACAGGGCCTCGCTTTCGAGGATCGAAGGAGCTGTCACCCCTTACGAACCCGGCGGAAGGCGGCGGAAGGTGGCGGAGGGCGGCTCTGCCGGCGGAAGCCAACGGAAGTAAACATTGGCTTCCGAAGAGGTGGCAAGGTTTTATGCTTCAGTGTTTCCAGAACCCGCCATGTATCGCCGACAGCATCAATAGTTATCAACCCCCTTTTCCCCTTTCAGCCACCCCCTCCGAAACGACCTCCCGGATCCGTGGCCCGGGAGCCCCTTGGACGTCCCTGCAGGAGGCCTCCCAAGCTTTTCAAAGCTCCTGGAAGCCCTTGCTGGGCCTAGGCAATGGGCCCAAATCGGCCAGGAGGGCGGCCGAACGCCCCCCCGAGGGCCTCAAGAGGCCCCAGACACCCACCAGACGCCCGAAGACGGCCCAAAGAAGACCCCCAAGAGGCTGTCAAGACGCAGAATAACATTGATTTCGATTGTTGTTGTATGATTTGAGGAGTGCCCTGTTCTTCGGTCTTCTGGGCGGCCGAGATCGCTTGGGAGGCCAGAAACTCGCCCCAAAACCATCCGAAAGGGATTTCCGTAGCCATTTTGGCTCAAGCCGCTCTGGCTCGAGACAGCGCCGGGGCCCGGCCTCGCCTCTCACGCCGCCCGCGGCCGCCTGTGGCGGGCAGACGGGCCGAGCATGCCCTCCTCCAGATCCCGGTCCGCGCTGCTCCCCGTGGGCCTCGCGGCGGCGTGCCTCTGCGCGGGCCGCGTCTTCGTGGCCCCGCGCCCGCCCAGCCTGCGGCCGCAGGGCGGCAGGGCGCTCACCGCGCGGCAGGGCGCGGCCAACAGCGTGCCGACGGGCCTCGTGTACCCCTCGCCGGAGGAGGCGGCGAAGACGCGCGAGGTGGACGGCATCAAGCTGTACTCCACCCACGCCTGGACCGACGACATGGTGCCCATCCTCGAGGCCAAGAGCAAACCGGCGCAGGCGCCAGTGATGATCGGCGTGGCCGCGGACTCCGGCTGCGGCAAGTCCACGTTCCTCAGGCGCGTGCTCGGCGCTTTGGGCACCGAGTTAAGCTACTCAAAATGGCTGACGGTCATGTACCATCGGACATCGGGAAACGAGCAAACGGCCATCGGACATATGATATGCAAGCCCAGGCACACGCCCATCGGCGACATGCTGACGGTCATCTGCCTGGACGACTACCACATCAACGACCGCGCCGGCCGCAAGGCGACCTCTCTGAGCGCGCTGGACGCCCGCGAGAACGACTTCGCGCTGATGGGAGCGCAGATCGAGGCCCTGAAGCAGGGCAAGGCCATCTACAAGCCGATCTACAACCACGACACCGGCAACAAGGACCCCCCCGAGCTGATCCAGCCGAACAAGGTCTTCGTCGTGGAGGGCCTCCACCCGATCTACGACGAGAAGGTGCGTGCTAACCTCGACATGGCACTCTACATCGACATCGTCGACGACGTCAAGTTCGCCTGGAAGATCCAGCGCGACGTGGCCGAGCGCGGCTGGACCGAGGATCAGGTCAGGGAGGATATCGAGAAGAGGCTGCCCGACTTCGCCCAATACGTTGACCCGCAAAAGAAGGACGCCGACGTGGTCCTGCGCTACGAGCCCTCCGACCAGGGCCTGCCTTACCTCAAGGTCAAGCTCATCCAGAAGAAGGGTGGCGCTTTCCCGGCGATCTCGCTCAAGAAGGAGCTGTCCCTCACTGGGAGCAAGCCGGGCGCCACTATCAAGCAGTACGATGACGATTGGTACGGCAGCCCAGTGAGGGTAATCGAGATGGACGGAGAGATCGACATGGACAACATGGCCGAGCAGGTGGCCGAGATCGAGGCCAACATCGAGGGTCTGAATGGCCGCAGTCCCAGCGAGCTCACGGATGCGATGGTCAAGCTTAAGGACAGCCCTGGTTCGCAGAACGGCACTGGGCTCCTTCAGGCTATCATCGCCATGAAGATCCGCGAGGTTTACGACAAGCTCACCGCCTGATCTTGGCATTACCGAGAGGGTGATGCAGCGTTGCGGCTTCGTCTTGAAGTATGTTCTACAGGTTTTGTTTTGTTAAATACAAGCGTGAGAAGTTTTCCGGCACAGACCATGGTTCAACATCCAGGTCGTTCGTCACATTTTGACAGGTGTTCAAAAAAAAACATCCGAAAGGGATTCCAGTCAGTCCAAGAGGGCCCCACGACGGCACAGCAGGGTTCCAAGATGGCCCAAGAGAGCCCCATGGCGGCCCAAGATGGCCCCCAGACACCCTCCGAAGCATTCCAAATCGTGACCCAGTCGTTCAGGGAGACCGCGGTTGGAGGCAGGGTGGCCCGAGGAAGCCCCCAGAGGCCCCCAGAAGACTCCCAGGAGCCCTCCAGAAGGCCACAAGAAGCCCTGAAAAACTTCCGTGAGACCCGCAGGCGCTATCCATGAAGGGGCCTCCACAAAAGAGCTGAGGAGGATGTGGAAGAATTCGCAGGGTAGGGTGCGAATAACAAATAATCATGCAGGAATAACCTTTAAACATTGTCATTAAAACGGCGATGCTGGAAAAAGCAACAAGGAGTTATCGCTAATTGTCTGTTTGACCTTCTCGTCCTTCCGCTTGCGTGCCAAGCTTCACGGACCAAGGTGCATGGCGCGAAGCAGCAATGCAGTCTTTTTTATGTGTGTGTGTGTGTCCTATTCCGCCAGCGCAGTCACTCTGCCTAGCCGCCGAAGCAAAAAGTGTGTGTGTGTGTATGTGTGTGTATGTATGTATGTGTGTATATGTGTGTGTCGGGGTACAGGGTCGGGGGCCTTCTCCCAGCTGCCTCTGGTCGCAGCGCCCGGGAGCTTCAGACGTCCTGCGTGGCTCCGGACGATCCCAGATAGCTTCAAGACGGCCCAAGAAAACTCGACGAGCGCTCCCCTCCAGAGGGCCAAAAAAGACAAACATCAAGGATTTCCCGAAGGTTTTTCAGTGTTTCTGGGGTTCGCGACTTTCGAGCTTACTACGCTCCACGACGGCCCAAGAGGCACCTAAGAGGGCCCCAAAGCGGTCCAAGAGGGTCCCAGGACGGCCCCAAGAGGGGCCCAAGGCGGCCCAAGTGGGCTTTAAGACGGCCCCAAGAGGGGCCCAATAGCAGGAGCCCGAAACGAAAATTCGAGCCTTCCGTACCACAAGATGCCCCCAGACGGCCCAAGAGGACTCGACGAGCGCTCCCCAGAGGGCCCCAAGTGGCAAAAACCGGTGATTTTCGGGGCTCTCGACTTTTCGAGCTTCCAGCGCTCCACGACGTCCCAAGAGTCCACAAGGCCGCGCCAAGACGGGCCATGAGGCCCCGAAGAGCGCAAATTAGTTCCGGCCCTAGAGGCGCCCAGGGCGCCCCAGACGATCCCAACAGGGGCCCGAGCGCAGGAGCCCGAAGCGACAATTCGAGCCTTCCGTCCCAAGGTGGCCCCGGGGCGCCCAGCAGAATTCGACGAGCGATCCCCAGAGGGCCCCAAGAGATAAGAATCAATGCTGTTCTTTAGGTTGTCGGGCGCGGTGCTGGAAGGCCGGCTGTTTCCAAAAGGTGCTGCTGGATTTGCGCGCGTTGTGTCTTCGCTGCTCGCTGTTTCTTTTTCCCAACCATCCTGTGGTGTTGGGTCCTCGTTTTGAAGAGACGTCGCCCCGCGTTCCTCCTCCTCCTTCCTCCTCCTCCCCTTCCTCCCCTTCCCAACCATCCTGTGGTGTTGGGTCCTCGTTTTGAAGAGACGTCGCCCCGCGTTCCTCCTCCTCCTTCCTCCTCCTCCCCTTCCTCCCCCCTCCTCCCCCTCCCACACCCATTCTGGCACACCCCTCACACGTTTCGTGGCCCCATAGGGAGCTCCACCGAAGGCCCCAGTGGCTGCGCTGGCATGCGGTTCCACACCCCGTTCTGGCACACCCCTCACACGTTTCGTGACCCCATAGGGAGCTCCACCGAAGGCCCCAGTGGCTGCGCCCGCATGCGGTTCCACCCCCATTCTGGCACACCCCTCACACGTTTCGTGACCCCATAGGGAGCTCCACCGAAGGCCCCAGTGGCTGCGCCCGCATGCGGTTCCACCCCCCGTTCTGGCACACCCCTCACACGTTTCGTGGCCCCATAGGGAGCTCCACCGAAGGCCCCAGTGGCTGCGCCCGCATGCGGTTCCAACCCCCCTTCTGGCACACCCCTCACACGTTTCGTGGCCCCATAGGGAGCTCCACCGAAGGCCCCAGTGGCTGCGCCCGCATGCGGTTCCACCCCCCTTCTGGCACACCCCTCACACGTTTCGTGGCCCCATAGGGAGCTCCACCGAACGCTCCAGTGGCTGCGCTCGCATGCGGTTCCACCCCCCATTTCGGCACACCCCTCACACGCTTCGTGGGTGGCTCCATGGGGAGCTCCACCGAACGCCCCAGTGGCTGCGCTCGCATGTGGTTCCCCCCCCCATTTCGGCACACCCCTCACACGGTTCGTGGCCCCATAGAGAGCTCCACCGAAGGCCCCAGTGGCTGCGCTCGCATGCGGTTCCACCCCCTTTTTCGGCACGCCCTTCACACGTCTCGTGGCCCCATAGGGAGCTCCACCGAACGCCGCAGTGGCTGCGCTCGCATGCGGTTCCACCCCCCATTTCGGCACACCCCTCACACGTTTCGTGGCTCCATAGGGAGCTCCACCGAAGGCCCCAGTGGCTGCGCTGGCATGCGGTTCCACACCCCATTCTGGCACACCCCTCGCACGTTTCGTGGCCCCATAGGGGGCTCCACCAAAGGTCCCAGTGGCACTGCCCGCTTGCGTCCGCCACCACCCAGCACAGCCCTTGTTCCCTGCGCTTCACCCACCCAGAACAGCGCTTCGTAGCCCTATAGGGAGCTCCACCAAAGGTCCCAGCGGTACCGCCCGCATGCGTCCGCCACCACCTTGCGCAGCCCTTGCTCCCTGCTTGCGTTTCACCCACCCAGTACAGCGTTTCGTGGCCCCATAGGGAGCTCCACCGAAGGTCCCAGTGGCACCGCTCGCATGCGTCCGCCACCACGCAGCACAGCCCTTGCTGACCGCGTCTCACCCACCCAGTACAGCGTTTCGTGGCCCCATAGGGAGCTCCACCGAAGGTCCCAGTGACACCGCCCGCATGCGTCCGCCACCACCCAGCACAATTGCGGCATTCACAACTGCATATGGTTGGGTCCTTCGCCAGGCTAATTTTGTTGTTCTCTCGCTCTCTCTCTCTCTCTCTCTCTCTCTCGATATCTCTATATATATACATATATATATATATGTGTATGTGTATACGTGTATATATATATATATGTATGTTTGTATAGATGTATGTATGTATGTATGTATGTATGTATGTATGTATGTATGTATGTGTGTTTGTATGTATGTATGTATGTATGTGTATGTACGTATGTATGTATGTATGCATGAATGCATGTATGTATGTATGTATGTATATATGTGTGTATGTATGTTTGTATGTATGTGTGTATGTATGTATGTATGTATGTATGTATGTATGTATGCATGCATGCATGCATGCATGTAGGTAGGTAGGTAGGTAGGTAGGTAGGTAGGTAGGTAGGTAGGTAGGTATGTATGTTTGTGTGTATGTATGTATGTACGTATGTATGTATGTATGCATGCATGTAGGTAGGTAGGTAGGTAGGTATGTTTGTATGTATGTATGTATGTATGTATGTATGTATGTATAGATGTTTATATTGTTGCTGTTTTTGTATTGCTTCTCTCTCTCTCTCCCTCTCTCTCCCTCGGGGTCGCACTTCTGCTGCCTACGCAACTGGTGGCTTTGCCAAGGTTTTCGCCCGGGTGGCGGCCATGGGCGCCCCGTGGGGGGCCCGCGCGCTGGGTGGGCATGCCGAGGTTTCGCGTGGCTTGCGCCCCGGGCGCGCGGAGGGTGGATCGTTCAAGCGAAAAGACGCTCGTTCGAGCGAAAAGGTAATCCGTTCAAGCGAAAACCAACCGAGCGAAAACCAATCCAGAGCAGCAGAGAACAGCAGAGAGCAGCAGAGAACAGCAGAGAACAGCAGAGAGCAGCAGAGAACAGCAGAGAACAGCAGAGAACAGCAGAGAACAGCAGAGAACAGCAGAGAACAGCAGAGAACAGCAGAGAACAGCAGAGAGCAGCAGAGAACAGCAGAGAACAGCAGAGAACAGCAGAGAACAGCAGAGAGCAGCAGAGAACAGCAGAGAACAGCAGAGAGCAGCAGAGAGCAGCAGAGAGCAGCAGAGAACAGCAGAGAACAGCAGAGAACAGCAGAGAGCAGCAGCAGCAGAGAACAGCAGAGAACAGCAGAGAACAGCAGAGAACAGCAGAGAACAGCAGAGAACAGCAGAGAACAGCAGAGAACAGCAGAGAACAGCAGAGAACAGCAGAGAACAGCAGAGAACAGCAGAGAGCAGCAGAGAACAGCAGAGAGCAGCAGAGAACAGCAGAGCAGACAGCAGAACAGCAGAGAGCAGCAGAGAGCAGCAGCAGAACAGCAGCAGAACAGCAGAGAGCAGCAGCAGAACAGCAGAGAGCAGCAGCAGAACAGCAGAGAGCAGCAGAGAGAGAGCAGCAGCAGAACAGCAGAGAGCAGCAGCAGAACAGCAGAGAGCAGCAGCAAACAGCAGAGAGCAGCAGCAGAACAGCAGACAGCAGCAGCAGAACAGCAGACAGAGCAGCAGAACAGCAGACAGCAGCAGCAGAACAGCAGACAGCAGCAGCAGAACAGCAGACAGCAGCAGCAGAACAGCAGAGAGCAGCAGCAGAACAGCAAAGAACTCCAAAATCGTGGTTCCCGCCATCCTCGGGGCCGCCGTGGGCCCCAGGGGCGCCAGCCAGAGCTGGGAACCACGATTTCGGGCTTTTCTGGCCTGGATCTCTCCAAAATCGTGGTTCCCGCCATCCTCGGGGCCGCCGTGGGCCCCAGGGGCGCCAGCCAGAGCTGGGAACCACGATTTCGGGCTTTTCCGGCCTGGATCTCTCCAAAATCGTGGTTCCCGCCATCCTCGGGGCCGCCGTGGGCCCCAGGGGCGCCAGCCAGAGCTGGGAACCACGATTTCGGGCTTTTCCGGCCTGGATCTCTCCAAAATCGTGGTTCCCGCCATCCTCGGGGCCGCCGTGGGCCCAGGGGCGCCAGCCAGAGCTGGGAACCA